CTAGCCCAGCCCCACGCAGTGGCTAAGGGTGCCAGACCCCACATGCCCGACCACAGTTCAAGGCCCAGCCCCCATGACTTGAGAAACAGGCTGGACAGATGTTCAAGCCCTAAACCCTGCAGGAGGAGGAATCGAGGAGGCATTGCAGCATGACCACACCTGCCGGGGGCTGCTTTCTCTCTCCCCCCCACTCTGGCAATTAAAAAAGGGGAAGAAAAGGTCGATTCTAGACACAGCAGCACAGCAGTGAGCCAACCTCACCGCCGTGTGGCATTCAAACACCTGTGAGCAGGGCAGGGCAGATGAGCCATGCAGGCATGGAGGTGGTCTACCTGACGGTGTAGGTGTCCCAGGTGAGCCAGGAGCAGGGAGGGCTTGGAGCAGAGGGGTGACGTCCCCACTTGGGCGGCCTTGTCGAGAACCGACTAAAGGAGACAGAAGCAGATACTGGTTGGAGGCTGTGAAATTGTTCAGGCAAGAGAGGGTCCCGGTGTGGGCAGGGCAGTGGGGGGGGGTGAGAGAGGTGGACAGAGCCAATGTCTTCTGAAGAGACAGCCAACAGCCTATGGCGGTAGACAGATGTGGGGTCCAAAAGATGGAAAAGACATCAAGAATAACTCCCTGGTGTTTGGCCAGACCGAGCAAGGTCTGGGGAAAACGGGCTTGCGGTTTCCTGAGGGTGAGGGGCCGTGTGGTGGGAGCCGAGGAAGAGCTGGGTTCTGGATGCTGTAAGTCGGAGGAGACCTTTCGCCAAGAGCTGACGCTGCGTTGAGAATAGACATGAGTCTGGCGGTCAGGGAGAGACGGAGGTAGGAGATGTGCAATTGGAAGCTATTGAACCATGTATTTAGTGAAAATACATTTTTTCCCCATTTTTCTCCCTGACTTACAAAATAATCAATTTTCCCATTTGATACGTCTATCCCAGATCTTGGGCTACTGGGTAGTAGAGTACGGTTAGTGTCTAGTTTTCTGTATTACTCCGCAGGCCGACAGCTGATGCTTCTGATGTGCCTGTCCATGATTTTGCCCAGCTGTTGCACACGGTGAAGCTCCAGGGCTGGACAGTTAGCGCCTGTGCAGACAGGTCACCGCACCGCAGAGCGAGAGCAGGACTCGCAGGCGCTAAGATCCTCACCACACTGCTGCCTTCGCCCCCGCTGCAGCAGGCGTCACCAGGTGTCGGTGGTTGCTCAGAAAATCAGCACATTGATCTTGACAATGGCCCGAGGACTGAAGTCCCAGCATCTCTGAAAGATCTCTGGTGCCCACGTGAGTGGAGCCTCATTGAACCCCCACAGGAACCACGGAGGTGCATGTTCCTGCCTTCGAACAGGGAAGCCAAGGCTCAAAGAGGTGTTATCACCTGTCCGTCACCTGCTGCTGCTGGACCTGCCCTGGACTGGCAGTGGGAGAACAAAAGGCCTTGTTTCAACCCTGCTCAGTCCCCTCCCAGCCTCCTCCTCTGCCTCCCCTGCCTTCTCCAGTAAGGAGAAGACCCAATGCTCTGGAATCAAACTAACCTTCCAGAAAAATTTCAAAACGGGAAGCTGACACAGACCACGACTAAGGCTCTTGGAATGCTACCTGGTCCCACACGGCCCACTCAGGAGCACCCCCACTGCGCCGGAGACAGGGACTCTCTCATGCGGGGCTCCAACAGTGAGCAGCTCTCTCAGCCCAGCAAGGGCACTCGCGTGCTGTTGGCTGGACCCCACGCCCCTCCACCAGGCTCAGATCTGCAGGACCAGGAATGCAGACAAGACCACCATCACCGCCCACTGTCCCTTGGGGCAGCCTTCTAATAACAGCTTAAAGGCTCCTTTCGTAAGAGGTAGGAGAACAGAGTATCTGCTTTAAAAAAAAAAAATCATACTTGAACAGTGTGCAAATGACTGCTGATTACATTGCTGAGTTTAAAAGGCAAGGCTGAAGATGTAACGGTATAGGAAGGAGGGAAATCCGGAGCCGAATCCATCAATAAGCCGTGGATCTAAGTACTAGAGACTAGGATGAATCCTTGACCTTTCAAAGCAACTTAAACACACCCATGAGCTCGAATGTGGCAAGGACAGGAACTCGCCAAGGTGTGACAGTACGAGAAGCCAAGACCAAAGCAGCCACCTCCCCACAAACCTCTAACCAAAGGAAGGAGGGAAGAGGCAGGAGGCGTTGAAGCTCGAGAGCACCTACTTGTGATTGACGGAAAAGATGGGATGGGGCTGCATCCCCCTTCCTTCGCCTGTGTCCATCCGTCTGCCTCAGAGCACTAACCAGTGACAAACGGACGGACGCATCCTCAGGCCGCATGGACACAAGCGTCCTGTGACTGCCTGCCTGGTCCGCCTGCTCTCAGTCACCGTGCTCAGCAGCAGCGACGTTCACACAGCTGTGTGAGTCCCTCTCTAAGGATGTCACAGCTGCGCAGGAAGTCCCACCGCAAGGACCGGGCAGAGCGCGGCCATGCGTACATGACAGAACTGAAACAGTGCCCGGTGCCGTTTGCCACTCTGCTGCCTTGAATGAGAGGGACCTCCGAGACGGGTCTGGATTTCTCAACATCGAGAAAGTCCCTGGGAAAGGAAACTGATGAAATGCTTCATTCCCACTGCTTCCCCACGACCCCACAGATCTGGCTTTACACCCACTGAAAACTGCATTTGTCTTTGGCTTCGCAGTGCACACTTCTGAACTCAGTGGCTAACTCATCATGGTCGTAGTTAACCAAACACACTGAATTGCTTACCGAAAGCTGGAGGAGTTGGGAAACGACCGAGGAACCTCAGATCTACGGGTGCTGGCATGTGAGGGACAGCAGCAGCCACACGCTTCCACCACCGTGGCGTGGGAGAAGGTACATTTTAAAAGTCCCTCCTTTACAAAATAACCTCGCAGGCGCTTCATCTGCATGACCAAAAGGATATGAATGAGAGCCTCATCGTGGCTGTGGATCGCCGTGTGCAGTTGATCTTCCAAGCACAATAACTCTTTGTTGATGCCTTCGCATTTCTCTACAAGGTCTGCAGAAAGGATGCAAGATTCCTGGCCAGAGAGAAAGACAAAGATCACACGTAAGCTGCGGACTGTCTTAGGACTATGAGCGCACAGGACGCCCAGGGACGTTTTCCTGGGAAAGTTCTCCCAGCTCCTGCACCTCAGGCAAAATGGCACTTGGGTCTCTGTCATCCTTGGAGATCATTCTTGAGAAGACACGAGCGTGTCCAGTTACAACTGAATGGAGCATGGTGTCCACACAACCCCCAGATCTCCTCCCTCATCTGGTCATTTCAAAGAGTCGCTTCCTCCTGTCAGCTCCCATGTGGACTCAGCAAGGGAGATGTGAGGCTCCCAACTCCATCGAGGATGGACTCACAGTTTGACAGGACTCCAAGAGAAGTAGGAAGAGAGGAGTCAGCGGCCAGAGCGGCAGGTAGACCTGCAGGCGTGACGGGCTAGCCCTCTGAGGGCACAAGGCTCTAAGAAGACGCTGAACATTTGTGCACACACTGGAAGTCGGAATATGAGGGAGACTTCAAGTGCCACGAGGCATGCCCTGCTGGTACAGCCGCTGCCACCATCCACAGGCACGTACCCCACAGGGCAGGAGGGAGTCATGCTCATGGCTGTACCTGGCCTCAGCGTGGTGTCTGGCATGGGTGGGCCCACAGTACTCATTGGTTTGCTAAAGGAGCAGTTGAGTCTTGGAGTTCCCTCCTTCAGGGATTTTCCTCTTAGAACTTTCCCTTATATCCCTCACGGAAGTCAGAAAAGTGCCCTCTTTATGCCGCTTCCTTGCACAGAATCAGCACGGATCAGTCTAAAGCCGGCCTGTGTGAGTCGGCCCAAGACCCATACTTTGGTTGTATCCCTTGAGCTCCGTTAAAAGCCACCTGACCCTGCCGACTGCACTCACCCACTGCCTTCCCTCATACACGTCCCTCCGCACCCTCTCCTCCATTCTCCTGGACGGAACGCAGCCTTCAGGAACTCTGCCCCAGGTAACTCTGCAGTCAGTAGGTCTGCCGTGTCCCCTGTCCTTTCGTGACCTCCGACTCCCCACTGCTGAGGGTCACACGCCAGCTGTCCTTCCTACCAAGGTGCCTGGCAGACAGAAGGCCACAGGCTCTTCCAAGAATAAACAGGATCAAGAAAACAAGGAGAGAAAATGGGGAATCCTAACAGAGGGCTGGGGGCCAGCAGGCGGCATGGTGGTTAAGGGGCTGGATCCCACATGGCTGACCACAGCTTGAGGCCCAGGCTCTGCGACTTGAAAATTACCTTGGGCACTTGTGTGTGCCCGAAATACCAGAGGAGGATGGAGGAAAGGGCATTGCAGCATGGCCATATCCTCTGGGGGGTGTTTTCTCACTTTTCCTCTCCCTGTCTCTCTCCGGCAATCACATATCATTAAATTTTTTTTAAGTTTAAATAAATAAATAAAATGGGAGGAAAGTAGGAAATGAGCTCAGAATTAAAATTTAGCCAAGTGTAAAGGTAGCATTTTCCTAACTAAGAGTAAAAGGTTTACCTGGTATACTAAAAATAAGTTTGCATAAGGAAAAGACTTCAGACACACATTCAGATTAAAGTGTAGAGTTTTTAAAATGCTACCATTAACAGCCAACAATAGCCGCAAGGCACCCAGGCGGAGGAATGTCTTCTGCTAAAAGGCCCTCTGAGAGTATGTGTTACATAATACCAGAATGAATTCAGGGGTAATAAATCCAGATATGCAATTCGACATTTGCTATGTTAGCTCCAGAATGCTTTAAAGTTTATATCCTGAACGGTCAACTACATTAGAATGAAACAGTGCTAATGCAGACTAGAAATGACTATTGTATGTATTAGGAAGTCGAGAATACTACGAGTAAATGCGTGTGTGTGCGTGTGTGCATCTGTGTACACACACGAAATCTAGTGGCAGTAGTTAAATGATTTTGCGGACAGATGGACACAAATAAATGAGCATTGATGTGAAGCAAGCATGAAGGCTTGCTCAGGATTGGCCGTCACAGTGAGAAGGCAGCAGACACACACGACACAGGCCCAGCCACGTTTTCTTGGCTCTCAAAGCAATGGCGTTATCATGCAAAGCTGTGGCATTAGACCGAGGAGACGGCAGTGGGGATGAGTAATGGAGCAACTCCACGGTCACGCGTGACACACTAAGGAAGACAACAGCTGGAGAAAACCGACTGACAGTGGTGGGACCACGAGTCAGCCCCAAAGAAGAATACAGTGGCAGTGAGAAGACAGGCGACCGAGAACACATGTACAGAGAGAAACCACCTCGACTCAGGACCAGAAACCAAGGAATTCGAGACACTCTTCGTGAAATCAAATGGCTCAGTCTTCATCTTAAGGCTACAGAAAATAGGAAATCAAAGTTGAATTAAACAAATTTAAAATATGGTTTTACATTTCTCCTCAAACCTATAATCACCATCTGTTTGCCTTTGAAAATTATGTGCAGATTGATAGTGATGGTGTAAATTTGGAAAAGCAATCGCACGCCACGAAGCAAGCATTTTAAACTTTTCATATCCGATGACTTAATGATAGCACTTCCTAGATGCTATCAAAAAGAAATCATTTATATATTTTAGTTGGAATAATTTGTATTGTGTCTTTGTAAAAGCATGGGGAAACGCGCATCTTATATGCCACATGGAAACATGGGAGCTTACTCATGCAATGATGATGACTGAGCGTACGGGAGAAAGGAAGTAACTGGCCAACTAAGGGAGCAGCTTAAATGAGTTCTGGTACATTCGCTGTGTATTTCGCCGTTACGATCATTTTAAATCCAAGAATGCTTAATGATAAAGAAATAATCAAATGGGTGAAGTACCAAAATACCTACAGCTGTTGTTCTGAGGGCAATATTATTGGACGTTTTAATTTTCTTGTCTATATTCTCCCAGATCTTCCAATCACTAAAATATAAGGAAAAAATTAACAAAAATACTAATTCAAATCAGAATGAAAAGGTATGAAAGAAGTACATTTGAATTTTTATGTATTTACTTATAGTTTTTTAAAGATTAAAAAAATACAAAGAAACAAACTTGGGGAGCTCGAAGTAGCAAGTCGGGAACAGCAGATCTGGTCGGCACTCTCTTCTGGGCAGTGCAGCTTTCTTGTGTATTAGGTTTCTGCCATAGGGTGCATGTACTTGCCAGGGAGACAGAGAGGGAAAGTGAGAAATCCCTCCCCAGGGGGATGACCACACTGAAATCCCTTCTCCTCCATTATCCTCCCAGGATTCTGGACACGTGCACATTGTGTGATTTTCAAGCTGCTGGGTCCAGGACTCGATCTGAAGTCAGCCATGTGTAAGTCCAGCACCCTAACCACTATGCCACTTGCTGGCCCTTGTGGGTCTTTCCAGAGCACAAGCTGTAGAATCTCTGGGCTCCTACACAAACTGCTTGTTGGCCAGACAGATTCTGATTCTGAACTGAGAGGACCCTGGCCGTGACCAGGTGAGTATGGCTTAATTATTACTTCCTGTAATGCTTCCACTAGGAGCTTGCAAACAGAACGAGTTTATATGTAAACTGAGCAGTGGCAGCAGATAAAAGGGCAGATTGACATGTTTTTATCAACCTGATGAAAACTTGTGCTCTGTCCAGAGGAGCCCTACCTGTCCACAGAGGGCAGGGACACCAGAGCCACGGGGATCTGTGGCACCAAGTAGCTGAGGTCCTGCCCGTCAGCCATCAGCTCAGGGCTCAGCGAAGCTTGCCTGTCCGTTTCATGCCATGCCCAGGTTCGGCCAAGTGCACGTGTGGCCACGGTGACACAATCTTCCAGAGCATCGCCTCCCCACTGCCCAGGGACAGTGAGTTACTCCCCACCTCAAACTCAGATGGCCCTACAATGACTAGAACACAGCAGAGGTGCCACAGCCTGACTTACAAAGCCAGGTCATAACAGGTGACATGTCTTTTCGTATCACTTGCCCTGCAACCCGGCCTCCATGTCGTGAGAAAGCTCAAGCCACATGGACAGGCCACGTGTAGATGCTCAGCCCAGCTAAGGCTGCAGGTGCAGAGAGAGAGACGGAGCCCCCAGTGATTCCAGCTCCATCCTCCTCAAGTCATCCAGTTAGCACGCAGACGCTGTGGGCCGTCCCCATCCCGCTCCTGACCTGCGGACCCAGGAATGTGGTAAGTGGTTATTTTAAGTCACTGGATGTGGGGTGACTCAGGTGCAGCCATAGCCGCTGAGCAGCGGGGACATGAGGATGGGTAAGGGCAGTGGAAAGACGCCGGCAGAAGTGCAGGCTCGCTGGCCCCAGCTAACGGTCCTTGGCGCTCACCACGGTGCGAGTGCCCAGACTCACCTCGGGTGTGAGCAAGCGTGCCAGAACTGCAGCGTGAGGCTGGATGGAAGGAAAGGATTAGAGCAGACGCACGCTGCCCCAGCCTCTGCCCCAGGCCCGTCTCTGGCTCTTACGCACGTTGTAACAGGGAAGGCACATATGTTGAGGTGTGTGTGTGCGTGTGCATGTGTGTGTGTAAACCAAGGAGAGCTAATATTTCCTAGAAAGCTCCTCAGGAAGACTGGCCACAGGGAGGCCAGCATGGCTGACAGCAGTGACACCCACAGGGCCTTGCTCTCTTCAGCGTTAGGAGGAAGGGCTCTTTCTTCAGTGGACACTCAGAGCAAGGTGCTCATCTGCTGAGAGGCAGAAGATAAGAAGCAGGCCAGGGCGCACCCTCACACTGGTCCGGGGCACACCCAGGGCCCTTGCACAGGCCTGGGGCACACTCAAAGCCCTCGCACAGGCCCAGGGCACACTCAAAGCCCTCATACACGACCTGGGCACTCTCCAAGCCCTCACACAGGTCCGGGGCACACCCAGGGTCCTCACACAGGCCTGGAGCATACTCAAAGCCCTTGCACAGGCCTGGGTCACACTCGAAGCCTTGTGCAGACCCAGGGCACACTTGAAGCTCTTGCACAGACCCAGGGCACACTCAAAGCCCTCACGCAGACCTGTGGCACACTCGAAGCCCTCACACAGACCCAGG